TATATATATATATATATTTCTGTCGGATATAATTTATTTTGGTAATGACTTTGGAGCTGATATTACTCATGTCTTTTTTACTTCTGATTTTACTACTGTAAATAATCAAATTAAAGCTCAGACTCTGTCACCCTGCTCCGACCCTGGAAGGGGAGTTATGTCCTAGGGATATGGTGACATTGTTCGTTGTAATGCGGCCTTGCCCTTTTTCAGCAGCCATTTACTTCTCTGAATCAACAATTTGCGTCATCTTCAGAGGACTTCTGTTTTCTCCTATTTGTTATTTATACCTAACTGATTAACAACAAATCCTGTTTAAAGGATTGATTTCTTCCATTGACTGTGAGATTACTCATAGACACCCCAAAATGGCAGCAAACATAATACATCTATTACGTCATCTTCAGAGGACTTCTGTTTTCTCCTATTTGTTACTTATACCTAACTGAATAACGACAAATCCTGTTTTAAGGATTGATTCCTTCCATTGACTGAGATTACTTTTAGAAACCCCAAAATGGCGGCAAACATAATACATCTATTATGTTTAGAGAAATTGATTTGAGACTTTTCCCCAAATCAAGCAGTTTATCAGACTTATTGACGAGAGTGAACTTCCGCTCTACCCTCTGTACCCATGCAGGCAAGAAGAACATTACACCATCTAAGGGGAGCAGTGAAATTCGAAACTTTAATTCAAGATCACCTAGCCAAAGAGCAAACAGCAACTGCACTAAGCTATATACATTCATGGAGCAGAATTCAAGAACAAATTAGAGCTCGAAGAATCTGTATGATAACAGAAGCGAGGATTAAACAAAAGAAATTGGAAAGCCAGTTAAAACTTGAGGCTAAGATTCATGAGCTGGAGGTAGCGTTTCTATATAATCTACAGCCATTGCTTGATTTCAACCGTTTGCAAGTGTTACTATTTATATCAGTCATTTTCTGTTATTTTTCGCAATGTGGGGCTATTTTTTTAGCATATCCTCTGAACATTAGCAAAACATGCCCTTTTGGTATTATATGAATGTCAGGTGGAATGGTGCAGTGGTTCTGAAACCATGGAAGAGATACTTTCCAGGTTGCAACAGCGAGAGGAAGCAGCAATTAAACGAGAGAGAGCCATGGCATATGCCTTCTCTCATCAGGTAAAAAACTTGTTTTGCTCGCTTCATTCATACAAAAAAATCAAAATTTAACGATTTTGTGTATGTGATATTGTAGTGGAGGCCAAACTGTAGCCAGTATTTTGGTCAGGCTTCGTATAGCCTTGGTAAAGAAAGTTGGGGTTGGAGCTGGACAGAGCGTTGGGTTGCAGCACGTCCTTGGGAAGTCCGGGTTAGGGTTCAATCCACCAAAACAAAGAAACTCAATGGGCAGCAGCAAAAAACAAAATTGGATAAGATGAATCACAGTGAAAGCAAAGTGGCCTTGGCTAAACACGCCCTGTCAAACGGCAAGGAGAATGGGAAAGGAAAAGAAAACGGTACTTCAGGGATGTCAAAGAACAATGATTCGAAATAGCCATAGTCCATGCTATCATGGGAGAACCCTTGGATAACGCTGAGGCAGCCAATTTGACGGTTTATTGTTTTTTCTTCTTCTTTTGGGGTTTTATTTTTCCATATTTGGCTTGGTGAGAATCTACGATTCGGTGTGTACGTTATTACACTAGGAGACATGTTATCTTCTTTTGCATGGTGTATATGATACAAATATGGATTTCCTAGTTTCGGCTCAAACTTGAGAATGATCTATTATCCCTTTCATTCCAGGGGCAGTAATTCAAATTTTTACCGCGTCTATTTTCAAGCTTATGAAAAATAAAAGCGAGGAAAATTAAATGAACTATCCTCCTGAGAGAATGATTTCATATAGACAAAATTTGACAGAGGATGGTCGGCCTCTTTATGGTTTAACACCGTCATTAATTATTGCCTCATTTTGCATATATATCAGCCATGAGTTGTGTGCTTCTTAATGACCAATTCAACTTTTTGGAGTAATGTTATTTATCAACCGACTAGCAGCACCAACAACCAAAAACAATTACGACGATCTCAATAGAGGCCAATGGTTTTTATGTTTCCTTACTTTCATTATTATCCCCTTGACAAACAGAATTTCCAGCTGGACACTAGAAAATATTTTTTTAAGGCACTGAGTTTTACGGGGTAGGGGACCAATCCCAGAAGGACAAGAACCACACTTTGGTGGCACTTATGTGTGTGAATTCTTCCATAATTGAGCTTCGCTGTGCTCGTCCCTGCAGATATCTTCCACTCTCCCCACTTGTTCTACCAACTAGGATCTATCTACCCAACTCATTGGTTATGGAGTATAGACTGTGACCTTCAGATTCCCCCACTACTCAATCTCATCTTACTACACTAAGGTTGGGTGGTTGAGAACTTAATAAAACATAATAATGATATTTTGGTTCCATAAGGGGTAGATCACGTTCCAAACCCAATCGTAAAAATCACTGTATCAGAAGCTGAAGCTTCCCTTCGGATTATACTTGGGCACTAGCTGCGTAAGTGGGTACGCCGCCATCAATATGAATTGGATGGATGGCTTCCCTTCCTTTTTACCCACACAATCAACCCTTGAGTCACTATCATGACATAGTTACACAGGCGAAATAGGAACTAGAAATAAGACATGGGAAAGGAAAAGCAGAAAACCATACTGAATTTAGGAAAATTGCCCTTTTAACAAGCTGGGAATCAACTCACACGCAACTCCTTTCTTTTGTAAAACAGTTTCTACTGTTCATAGACAACGACTTATCAGCCAAATGCTCCCAAAATTCAAGCACGAAAGAGATAGATCATTGATATAATAAAACAGTAGAATCATCTTTCAATTCTTTTGGCAGGATGAGGAAGCTATAGAAGAATGGACGGTCGCACTAGAAAGCAGTAAAAAGTAAGTAAACAATCATTTCTCACACAAAGAGAACCCCTCTTTTATCCCTTTGACAACAGATAGGCGAATCCGGCATTTTCAAAACAGGAAGAAAATGCCCGTCTCTTTCCC